GACAGGTAAATATTCAAGGTTATTAAAAAGGAAAGGAAATTAGAAGGAAGGTTAGGAAGGTTAGGAAATTATTTTAAATCAATTCACCCATGGTGTGCACATGTACATATATAAATAGACATACATGTACTACATATACCATTTTACAAATACATGTACTACATATACAAATACATGTACTTGTACAATGTACAAATACATGTACATTTACAATGCACACACACATGTAAATGTATGCACACACGTACATGTACATATATAAATACATGTACATTTCTAATGTACACATACATGTACTACATATACAAATACATGTATATACACATACAAATACATGTACACATAACATACATATGTACTACAAATGCACATACTTTTACAATGTACACATGCATGTACTACATACACAAATACATGTACATTTACAATGCACACATACATGTAAATGTATGCACACACGTACATGTACACATACATGTACATATATAAATACATGTACATTTCTAGTGTACACATACATGTACACGTACATTTCTAATGTACACCAGTGTGGTCCACGAGGTTTGCGTGCCGGTACCCTCGTGTGTCATTCCCGATTGTAGCTTTTCCCTCAATTCCAGGAAAGAGTTTTGCTGTCGCTCTCTCATAGTCCAGTGGTGCCCACCCCCTATATTTTAGTAGTGATCAGCACCACGCGACTGAAACAATCGTGCCCCCCTCCCCGTACTTCAATCAATGCCGCCCCAGCTGACAGGCACGTACGCAGTGTCGATGTGCACATACAGCCACCGACGCGTGCCTCGCGGGCCACTTTTTTCGATGACCTTAATATAACGTGAGAATGTCGTGTGATAGCGCCCTAGTTGGCTCGAAGGATGTTAGGAATATTACGCAACTACTTGTCCGACATAGACTTTCACTTGTCCTGAGTCTCGGACCAGGGGTGTGGGGGTTGCACTCACCCCACATTATGGTAGGTATGTGCCACTGCAAAGTCAAAAATGAGGGGCTCTGGAACTAACTCAGACCTGAAAATGGTGGTCTCTGGAACTATAATGTTTGTTGAATGTGGGATGCTCCGGAACTGGCTATGTTCGAAAATGTAAACGTGTGATGCTCTGGAACGAGATTTTCTTAAAAATGCGATGCACTGGAACGGAAGTTTAGGCCTTTTAGGGTGAAAATGGGGGGTCTCTCCCGCGGCACATACCTACCATGCAATATATATGGAGTGCCCCCCCCCCTTTCGGGGGCCTCATATCATAGCGCTTCGCAATCTGCTATGAATAAAAAACAGCTCACAATAACCAGCCTATTTCATCAGATTCCTTCTAACTAGACTTCTAATAAGACACTAAATGCCCTTATGATGGTGTCTGTGGAAGGCCCATCAGCTCAGGACTTCCCCTTCCATGAGGCACTCAATCTGAATAAAATATAGCGAAATATAGTTTTACCTTATACTATATTTATTTGCATTTTTCGCACATTGCTTCATAACATATTATCGGTTACATTCACACTAGTATACAAATTGAACAATGAAAAATGACTCACCACTCATGACTCTTGACTCAACCCAAATTATTTT